GGGGGGGGGGGGGGGGGGGGGGGGGGGGGAGGGGGGGGGGGGGAGGGGAGAGGAGAGGAGAGGAGGAGAGGAGAGAAGAGGAAGGCCGCCCATTTGAATATTGGGTTGCAAAAATGCTTTAGAAAAAAAATTATACTTAAATGATGCATATAAATTCCCAATAGCAATTTACTAGTCATTTCCTATAAGACCTGTTCATGTGGCTGAAAAGATGGCTCAGTGGTTAAGAGCACTGGTTGCTCTTCCAGAGATCCTGAGTTTAATTCCCAGCAACCACATGGTGGCTCACAACCATCTGTAATGCAATCTGGCACCCTCTTCTGTCATGCGGGAATACATGAAAGCAGAATGTTGAATACATAATAAATAAGCAAATAAATCTTATATTAAAAAAAAGACCTGTTCATTTGAGACTGTAAATCTCTCAAATTCATCCATTCTCACTATTCCTGCCCAAATGGATTGATAGGTCATGTTCCTTATCTCACCTTTATAATTTTAAGCTCCAGTTATCTTTCAATAACCAATTTGCTATCACCTCTCCTCAATACTTTCCAAAAGGTTTAAAATGAAAGTCAAAGCTCTGAATGTAGTCCACAGGGTAATCCACTTGGTCTCCGACCTATACCTTACATGTTCTGGAAATATGGATGTTCAAATTCCCTAAGTGCCACATGTTGCTCATCACTATAGGGTGTACTGTTTCCTTGTATCATGTTTTTCTTCCTCTCTATCTCATTCCCAATAAACTGTTCACACACTTACCCACCTGACATATTTATCAAGTAACTACCATTATGTCAGGTAGGAGGAACAATTAAAAGAAATATCTTTGTTCCCAAAGAAATTATTTTCTACCACAAACACAGCAAAATAAACAATAAGTAAAAGATAGGCTGGAAAGATGGCTCAGCAGTTAGGAGTACACACTGCTCTATTAGAGGACCAAAGTTCAGATCTCAGAACCCAGGATGGGTGACTCACAGGTGTTTTTAACTCTTGTTCCAAGGAGTTACACCTTCTATAGGCACCTGCACACACAAATGTAATAAATAATGACAGGTAACAAATAAATCTTTTTAGAAAGTAAAAGAATATGCCAAGAGTTTTAATTACTGAAAAGGAAGAAACAAAAAACAGACGATATTAGTAGCATTAGCTACTAACAGCAGGGGTCAACAATTTTAAGTTATAGGTAAAACAAAATTCTCTGTAACACAATATTATGTAAAAATGCCAAAGAAATCTATAGGACAAGCCAAAAAGGTTTGTATAAGAGGTGTTCTCCTAATAGTGTAACAGAGATTAAGCCTCTAATAAGGCTGAAACCAAGTAAGGCTGGAGAGTTAGCAAAATGGGCAAGGACTCAAGACTTTTACTCAGGAAAGGAGGAAACCATTAGAGGATCAATCATGAGAAGAACAGGGGGCTGGAGAGATGGTTCAGTGGTTAAGAGCACTGACTTTTCTTCCAGAGGTCCTGAGTTCAATTCCCAGCAACCATGTAGTGGCTCACAACCACCTATAATGAGATCTGAAGCCCTCTTCTGGCCTACAGGCAGAATAGTGTATATATAAATAAATCTTAAAAAAAAAAAAAAAGAACAGATCATCTGATTCTCTTTCATGCTAGACACGCTGTAAAGAATAGGCTCTAAGGACAGAACCTCTCTGTAAGGGCAGAAAGGAAAAGATGAACTACTAGAGCCTGGATGGAAAGCTAATCCAGGTAATATATAAGCCTGTATAGGCCAGTGACGGAAACAAAAAGGAGACTGGATTCTTAAAAGTATCTATTGAGAACACATGTAGAATATAAGGGGGAAAAAAAGAGCTGCATTACTTACATCTATAATAGACCTATTTATAACAACACATAGATGGGACATAAAAATTCAAATTTACTCAGTCCACAATTCCCAGTTTATTAATATGAAATTCTACAGACTGTTTTCTTTCTCTCTTGAAATGTGGATAGGTACTGGCTTGCATGTATATCTGTGCAACACGTGCCTGCCCGGTGCCAGCAGATACCAGGAGAGGGTGTTGGATGCCCTGGACCTCAAATTAGATGGTAGTGAGACACCATATGGGTTCTGAGAATCAAATCACTCTAAAGGTGACAACCTGATCTCTTAATCACTAAGCCATCTTCCCAGCTCCTATTTCTGGCTCTTTGTGATAGGTAAAATTTCCCTGATATTGCATAATTACACGTGATACTGTCAATTTTAAATGTCAACTTGACAATCTAGAATTGGCTGGAAGAAGACTCTTAGAATGTGAGGTTATCTTAGTATATATTAGTTCAAGAGAAAAGTCAATGTAGTTGACATCAGAAACAACAAAAAGAGAAGATAGCTGTGTTGAGAATTCTGATATATTCTTGTCATTCCCACAATTAGGTTTCTTTCACAAAGCAAAAACATTTGATTTCAAAGTATCTGGATCTGGGTTGTAAATAATGTATTACCAAGTAGGCAAAGCTTCAAAGAGTTTGAGTTACTCACTCCTCGTTTAACATTTTAAATCTCTTGCACTCTGCCTGCCACCTCCAACCACCCAATCAAGCAAAAAACAATCTCCCCAAACTACAATTATAGACCAAACAACTTATATACCTGGCATGCCTGCAGCAAGACCCTGACCAAAAGCCAAAGTTGGGTTTGCAGCTGCTGCAAGTGATTCTGCTTGCTGCCCTTGTTGGCCCTGACTGGGAGTAATAGGACGTTGACCTGCTCCAGCACGAAGAACCTAGAAAAGACAAATGACTCTCTTAAAGCAATATAATAACGAATTCATCTCAGACAACTATGTACATATCACAAGTAGATTTTGGATCTTGTTTGAAGAATGAAATGTAGATTTATCATGAAAAGTTATAAATGATTTTATCATTAAAAGAGATATTTAGTTCTTAACTATAATGATCTATAAAGAAACATGGATGTCCTAGGTCTTTGGGTAACAATCATTTCTAATATTTATGCCCTTCTTTTTTTCTTTAAAAAAAAAATCACCCTTCTGGTTAAAGAAATAGATAATCTTAAAAATTTTATTACAATTATTTTCCAAGGCTGAAAAATGAAACATGACATGAAAAGCTAAAAGGAAGAAACTAAGATTTGTCTTTAAGATTGTGACACAGCAAGAAATAATACACACACACACACACAAAACAAGAAAACAACAGAAACAAACAAAAAACCAAACTGAACCAAAACAAAAATTTGGAATCCATGGAACTTTAGCTCATTTCAACGTGAACTCTTCATACGAAAAATATAAAGTAACACAACCATGATGAAATTAATAATACATTTTACAAATATCCAAATAATTCAGGGAAGAGTGGAATCAACCTAAGTACACACACTTGCCAGCAACATATATCTGGTTAAAGATACAGGCTAAAAAAAATTATTAAATGACATATGATATACAATGGCTGAGCTAAACAATAGCTTCTACAGAGCATCTATATCATTAAAAAATATTTTAAAAAACTCAAAGCAAAAATTAGCAACCAAGCAAACAAAGTATTAAATTGCTTTTGTAGAAGAAATAAGATGAATATGGAGAATTTCCATACTTACCAACAATGTATTTACATTTGTCATAATTTTTGAAAAGGCCTGAAATAAGATAATCTTCTCTGGAGGAAGAGACAGAAGGATCTCTGTGAGTTTGAGGCCCTCCTACGCTATATAGCAAAACCCTGACAAAAAAACTCTATCTAATTAATAATTTGTTTAAGAAATCAAAGGTAACTTAGAGTGAAAATGTTTTACTTTTTCTTGATTAAAAATGTAAAGCACTTAAAATATTTTTCGCCTTTTACTTAATATCTAAGACAAGCAAGCTCTTTGATATGGACATCAATAATGTAGATTTTTGTTGTTTCTTGAAGCAAGGTCTCACTATTCATGATGGACTGGCCTCAGATTTCATGACCTTCATTCCTCAGTGATGGGGATTAGAGACACCAGTTCAGATGTATTAGCAGTATCCTTTTTTTTTTTTTTTCTTTTTTCTTTTCCCTGTTTGGTTTTTGAGACAGTGTTTCTATGTGTAGTAGCTCTGGCTGTCCTGGAACGCTGTAGACCACCACAGCCTTTAACTCACAGAGATCTGTCTGCCTCTGCCTCAAGAATGATGGAACTAAAGGTGTGTGCAACCTTTAATTAAGTTTTAAAATTGTTAGACATCTGAAGAAAGTAAAATAACAATGATGATCAGAATATAAAAAAAAGTCAGTAACTAATTGTGCATCACCTATATATACTAAGTACCATGCTATCTACTGAGGAAATAGACATTTTTTAAATACCAGGAACTCATAGAATTTAGAGGATTCTCAGTTTATTTCATGAAGAGAGGCCTACCTGCTGCTGTCCAGGCTGAGCTTGTGATGCTGCTTGCTGATTGGCTGTGTTGTTTGCCGCAGCTGCAGCTTGCTGCTGAAATAAATTAGCTGGATACACCCCCCACGGAACACCGTAATACTGAGGTGGAACCACTGCTGGACCTAAACCCACATGCCCCACCAAAAGAAAAAAAAAGTCACTAGATTTTATATATGAGATCAGTTACTATTAAATTATAAAGGGATACAACCCTAAGACTTAGGAGCTGACCACATCCTTGTAATTTTTTTTCCTGCTCACTCACACTTGCTACATCACATTTTTTTTATTCTATTAAGATATAGTATATGTTTGTGTGTGTGTGTGTGTGTGTGTGTGTGTGTGTGTGTGTATTAAACTGAAGAGTCTCAGTCTATAGCCAACTGGTCTCAAAACTCTTAATGCCCTGCCTCAGCTTCCAAAGTATTACAAGTACTTATTTCCGTATCCACCTTAGTGCTGATTATCAAAGACTCAGCATTAATGTCAGCAGTGGCCTTACTAAACTGACTTGAAACAAAACTCAAGGCCATCAATAAAATGACAGACACTTTATCATTCACAAGTACTGACTGTCAATGTATGGGTCTAGTGTAGACACAGACAATATGGTACTACATTAGATAACATAAAACTAGTGCTTCTTAAAAATAATACATTAATTGAAAAAATATTTTTTGCTGATTAAAAAATTTTAAATTTTTACTTTGTAAAAAATTAGTGAACAAACTTGGTGACAAACAACATTTGAACTGTAAGTCTTCAGTTTAAAGACGTTTTCATTTTTCCTATTTGAAACAGAATTAGCCACCATCCTTACAAGCAATTGAGAATCATAAGAAGACAAATGAGACATCAGTGTGTATGTGGTCAGGAAAAGAAAAGTAGTAGTTAGGACAAGAACTGGATGATTCAAGCAAAGAAAACAAGAGTAAAGAAAGCAAACTAGGCCAGGTAGCCGTGGCACACATCTTTTACCCCACACTTGGGAGGCAGAAGCAGGCAGATCTCTGAGTTTAAGGACAGCCTGGTCTACAGAGTGAGTTTTAGTACAGTTAAGACAACACAGAGAGATCCTGTCTTGAAAAACCAGAAGAAAAAAAAAGCAAACTAGGAAAACAAAATGAAATGCTTCTGTTCTACTTGATATCTAATAGATTATATAGAATAAAAGATGAGCCCACCAAAATCAATAAGTAAATGTCCTGATTTCTGACAAATAACAGATGTCCTGATACCATGTCAAATCAAATTAGGATAACTAACTTGTTTACTTTAAAATCCAAAGTCACCTTGTTTAGAAAAAAATAAAGCCCAGCACAAATGAACAAATCACTAAAATTAAAAGCTCTTCTAAACTTAAAGGCAAAATATATTTCTAAAATAAGATAGCAATACAAACACAACCTATATGGTGAAGATGTTTGAACACAACCAATCATGAGACTAGAGAGATGGCTTAGTGGTTAAAAGCACTGACTATTTTTTCAGAGGACCCAGGTTCAATTCCCAGCACCTACAAGGCAGCTCATAACTGTCTGTAACTCCAGTTCTAGGTACCTTTACACCAATGCACATTAAAATAAATAAACCAGGCAGTGTTGGTATACGCCTTTAATCCCAGCACTAGGGAGGCAGAGGCAGTCGGATCTCTGTGAGTTCAAGGCCAACCTGAACTAGAGCTAGTTCCAGAACAGACTCCAAAGCTACAGCCAAACCCTGTCTCAACAAACAAACAAAAAAATTCAACAGTGAAAACAAACTCAAACTACCAAGAGCCTCTATATGCAATATAGACAGAAACAAACAAGATTCTGAGCAAGAATCCTAATTGAGATGTGCTCTACAAGTACAGTAGGATTTTCAAGATTTAGCATGAAAACAGTGCAAAATCTATTAATAGTTTTAAAATACTGATTAGATAGTAAAACTAAAGTACTTTCATCTGTTCCTTTACTTTTGTATTATGGCTATCCGAAAAATTGGTAAGCTGTACTTTCTGTCTTATAATAAATACATTTCTACTGAACACTCATGGCGCTAAAAGGCCCAAGATAAATGACCTCTTGAAGTTGCTTTTTTCAGTCCTATAGGTAATGTACAAATATGTCTACTAACATTAACATATTAATATTCAGTTAAATGGTACCAGAAAATGCACACTCTTATGGAATCACATGGTACAGATTTCTTTCAGTCTAGTCTAAACCAGACAGCAAATAGGAATTTGAGATTAGTTTTTCTTTCATTTTTTAAAAGCAATGTCTTAAGTTTGAAAAGTCACAAAAAGATGGACTGTCCAATAGTCATAAACAGTAACAGGTGACAATCACTTCACTGAAGGTATCTCTGAAAGGCAGAAGTAGTCAATCCAAGAATGACAACACCACAGTCTTGTTTTATATAAACAATACTTAAAGACTGAACATATTTCTGTATCTATAGTCAATTCAACCTAAATCAACTTTCCCCCAATGACTTTACACAAGAACAGCAAAATATTCTATGAGTAAAACTGCACCTGACCAAAAGCAGTTAATACAGCTTTGGCTTACAGGGATAACTTTCAGTAAAGTTCCTTCCATACTTTTTGCACCTCAGCTTGCTTGTAATGCTTAAGAAACTTCTAGATGTGCATTCTTTTCAAGAGTTTCACCTACCGCCAGATTATGTTCTGAAAAATAATGTCATTTTGTTTTGTGAGTACTGGGATCAGTGTTCAAATGAAGATGTATGGTCCACATTGTAGGACTTCTAAGTTACAAACCAGAAGTAAAAACCAACTAACTAGACACAGGGATGAAATAGTTATTGCTGTGTTGTTGCTGCTCTGTAATTGTATAGTTGAAAAATTAACTCCCTGCAAATTTCATTTAACTACTAACAATATTAGTTTCTCAGAGGAATGCCAAATTGCTCATAGACAAAAATAAAACTTACATCAAGGTTAAAACTAAATTCATAACAAGTAACAATGATGAACAACAAGTTACCTGCTAATGTTGCTGCTGCAGCCAATCCTGCTGCAGTATACGGGTCGGTCCCTGGAGGAGCAGCACTAATAATATATGGATTTGGCACAAATGCAGCTGGAGCAAGGCCTGCTGAGAATACACCAGCTATATTTAAAAGGGCGAGAAATAATAAATAAAAATGTAAAGTATTTCTTCAAGGTAAAAACATTCTATTCTAAATCTGTAGTGGGACCATGTATGATTAAGGGTTCAATTTTTTTTTACTGAACAACCCCATTTACACATCAGATAACACCAGCTGTTTTATAGGGCTTTTACAGATATTAAATATATGATATGAAGGTATAGTGTTAGTGAATAAATATATAGTAGTCAGGCATTGGTAGTGTACACCTTTAATCCCAGCACTCAGGTGGGAGATAGGCAGATTTCAAGTTCAAGGCCAGCTTGTTCTGCCCAGTGAATTCCAGAACAGCCAGGGCTTCACAAAGGAACCCTGCCTCAAAAAACAAAACACCAAGAAAGTGTTTGGATCTAGATCTATTGTTATTCAGTAGTTGTTTCTCATTCAAACTTTTAGCATAATTGAGCTAAGAATTTAGTAAAAAAGAATTGACAGAAAAATAAATTACCAATGAAAATACAGCCTGATGTGTTTTACTAGCACAGAGAAAAGTAATATCTAACAAACTTTGTAAGTGGTTGGTAAGGTAAAAAACTTAGTGAAATTAAGTAGTGCTGGAACTATACCTACAAGATTCATCAAGAGCTACCAGGTTCATCCTAAGTAGTCCTTAAGGTAATAGGGAAACAAAAAGGAATTTAAAAGAGACTTTAAGTCTATTTCTGACTTTTAAGTTTATTTCTGAATATAATAGAAGTCCATACAGATTAAGTAAAAAAAAAAAAAAAAAGGATTAAAAAAAAAACTATGTATTTGAAGCATTCTTGTTAATAGAGAAGGAACTTCCAGGCACTGACAACTACCATACACAAAACAAGATATGCACCATAGCAATGTAAAAAACTGGAACCAAGATTAAAATGTTGAACTGAGCACTCAGGAGGCGGAGGCAGAGACAGGCGGATCTTTGTGAATTTGAAACCAGCCTGGTCTACAAATCGAGTTCCAGGGCACCCAGAACTGTTACACAGAAAAACCCTGTCTCACAAAACAAAACAAATACATATAATCAAGTTTGATAGCTTATAATTCCTTAGAAATATTTTTAAATTATTCAGGTTTCCTAAATTTTCATCAAGCTGACAAGATGATTTCAGATCAACTAAATTCAACAAGTACCAACTACTGAATAAACTCTGACACATAAAAATCAAATTTTCTTAAATTCATTTCATTAAAGCAAGTATTATGGTAACAAAACTTGACAACTTCAAACCACAAGAGACTGATATCACTTAATTCATAAGTGATTGAGGATTAAGAGCTGTATAGATTAGCTCAGCAGTTAAATGTTTTCTGCTTACAGAGGATACAATTCTTTTCCAGTATCATAGCTATACTACACAAACTCCGGGGAATCTGCTACTCTTTTGAGTTCAAAGGGCCCTTACATGCACATGCTCACACTAACTGAACCCACATAGACATGAATAAAAATAAATATTAAATTTTTAAAAGAAAAAAAATTGAGGGAAATCAAACCCAGGGTTTCACGTATGCTAGGCAAGCACTTTACCAATCCACATGACCTCTGGATTTGAACAAAAGAATGACAGTTTGCATTCATTAATAAGGGTAATTTATGTCATGTTAATTTTTCTTAAGTATGTTTTTAAAATCCAATCTGATCTTCTGAAAGTAGATTAGATGATTCTGAAGTTCATACCAAAAAAAATCCCTTCAAAAACTTTACAAAATCCAAAGATTTTGTGAAATTTTAAAAGATATCATAAAGTGCCAATACAACACCTGTTATTGTTTCACAAGCAGGTAAGAACCACTACATTGTCAACAGTAAGAGAAGGACTGAATTAATAAACATATGAATAAAGAAGGTCCAAGAAAAAATGAGGCCAGAATAGATACTGCAATTAGGAAGAAATTATAAATGCATCTATCCTTATAAAGAACCAAAGTAAAATTCCTACAAAGTCTTAGCAGCACTAATACAACAATACACATCTGAAGGAAGAGTTGGTCCTTACAGAGCACTTGTGGGCTGGGAATACAGCTCAGTGGGAGATACCCAGGGACCACAGAAGGTCATAATTTCAATCCCCAGCACCAAGCAAGCAAACAAACAAACAACAACAACAACAACAAAACCAACAAAAATCACCACAAAAAACACCTGAAACTTTTCCAACTAAATAATAAATCAAAATCAGACAGACAAATCTAGAGTGACGGGATTATACAAAATAATTTCTGTACTATATCAATGTTATATTGCCTATTTTAATGTACAATAATAATTACTTTTCTCTGTTTTCTTGAGATAGGGTTTCTCTGGGTAGTCTGCCTATCCTGGAACTCACTCTGTAGACCAGGCTGGCCTCGAACTCACAGAGATCCACCTGCCTCTGCCTCCTGAGTGCCTGGGATTAAAGGCGTGCCACACTACCACCCATCTAATGTACTATAACTATTTAACAAGGAAGATTAGAAGAAGCTAAATAGAAGGGTATTAAGGGAATTCTCCATACTGGCTGAATTTCACAAAACTATAATTACCCCTTTAAAAGCCCACAACTATACTGCATTTAAACATTTTATCTCACTCTATATTCTAGTTAGAAAGAGTAAGAATCAGAGCTGACAGAAGAAAAACAAAAAAGCTATTAGCAGGATTTATCAATGTTGAGAAACTAAAGGTGTGTACTTGATAGGTAAAAAACAAAGATAAAACTAACCCTATTATAGACAACAAAACATGTACAAGGCTTAAATTTTATCAGTAATAAATATATAATTGAGTTAGTTCACATTAGTTAAAACGAGATATCAAAAAATGCCAAATATTTTAAAGAAAATCTTTTAGGATTATTATTTTTGAATAATTCTAAAAATAAACATTCTGTCAGGATAGTTGAGATAAATAATAACATTTTGTTTCTGGGCATTTGATTCTTAACTATTCACTGAAAAAAATCTTAGGAACTAAGAACATTTATTGAATATAGATTTTCAAATTTTAAAATGTATGTTGTGTGTATATATGTATGTGTGTGTGTTTTCTTGCCACAGAACACATGTTGAGGTCAGAGGACAACCTGTAGGGCCTGGTGCTGCTCTCCTTCTACCATAGATCCTAGGGATTAAGATTAAATTTGGGTCAGGCTTTGTGACAAACACCTTCACCCAACAATTTTGCAGGCCTAAATTACAGATATTTAACCAAATACAAAAAAAGGAAAATCAAAAACAATTCCCTCCCTTAATCAATCTGTAGTATGCAATCTTTTACTACTAACCTCAAAGATGTTTTTAAAATAAACAAAATGTCACCAAATCAAGAAATGAAAATAGACACATTTCATATACTTTAACAGAAGATTTTTCTGACAATAATGAAAAAGGAAAATTCAGACTTACCTATATGTGGTTGCTGAGCTGCTGCTAATGCATATTGCTGTTGTTGAGCTGCAGTTAACTGCTGAACTGTTAGTGCATTAGTCCTCTGAAAGAGCTATCAGGAAAAATATTTAATACAAAGATTAATATCAAAACACTGCAATTCTTATTAGAAAGTTGTGAATATTTTAAACACTTATTTGAAGAACTTTCTTAACCATAATGATATTTTAATAAAACATTGTCAAAACCCCTATCATTCATGTTAGTGATTTACAGCACTTTGGTTACACAAATAAAAAGAGATTGCTAGAAAAAGCATGCTTACCTGCTGCTGGGAATTGTAGTCAAAAAGGCCTACAGTAGCTCCCGAAGAGTCCATGGGTACCTGATTACCAGGATAGTCAAACTGTAAGGAATCCAGACCAACTTGGTCCATGGCATCCAGATTCTGAGTTTCAGGATTTGAAAATTCTTCAACAAGTGGTTTGTTAGCTGTAGGATTAGGAAGAGGACCCAATCCTTCTGGGGGATTAGTACTGGGGCCAAGGCGCTCAACTACTTCAGTTGGAGAGGCTTGACGACTTCCAGGAGTACGACTAAATAAAGAAAACATAAAAGCACTATGGGTAAAAGTAGCAAGTCAAAGGGTAAACTGGTAAAGTATGAAAAACCAAATGCTCCTCAACATATAAAGGTTTTCTGAGCCACCAACTATTACATTTCTCACATTTTTTCTATTTAATAACTGATTAAGAGTTGACATAGTTTCAGTATTTTTATTATTACATCAATTTGAATACCAAATCATATAATTCAACCATACAGGTTAAGACCAATACACAGGTAAGAAAAGCTGTCCATTATTACATCTTAGGACTATACCATCTAAAACTTTTGTCTAAAATCATAGACAAAAATTATGTAAGAAAAACAAGCTACTAGACAAATATGGAAAGGTTAAAAATAAAAATCCACTCAACAACAAAACAAAAACCAACCAGATATCGTGGTTATGGTTTTAATTACTGAAAGAAGTCTTAACTAAAACAAAAGGCTGACTTGTGACTGGGGTTTTCTAAGCAATTTCTCTTTTATCATTTGGGCCTGTGTCCTTAATCAGAATGAATGTATGACTGGGTAACTCGTTATAACTAAAAGAATGAAAGAGAGAAAGAATGAGCAAAAAAGCAAACAGCAGACAATCAACCAGCCTGCCTTCTCGAAAGCCCCATATAATAGTTACCTAAAAAATCATCAAGTTATTTCTGTCGAAACTATCAAAAATATGTGTAAATGTAGAAAATTTTCAAAAATTAAAGTACATAAAAAACACACACAAAAAAATTCTATATAAACAAAATAAAATGTAACATTTCTCTACCATACTATGGCTTCTCCCCTGGTGTCCCCAAGAAATCCATTAATATTGAATTAAAATTTCAGCACTGCTTTCCCTTTGCATCAACATCCTTCATGTTTCTAACATTCTTTTTACATTATGTTTAATCCTCAATTACAGTTTATCTCTTCTACATATACACTTCCTCCAAGTGTGCTGCTTTGAGGAACTAACTATGCATTCATTCAAAGTACAAGCAAAGCATAAGTATGTAAGCTTAGTGGCAATAAGGCACTTTACTTAATGCCAGCTATTCCATCAAACCTAACAAACCCTAATTTGAGGTATTCTACATCAGCCTAAATTTGCTATACAGAGTAGTTTACAAAGTAACTATTAATTATAAGATCAGTTTACTAGGCATTTAAACATTCATGCTATTTTCTAGTCAATCACTGTCTTTGCAATACTACAAATGTTTTTCGCTTTTAGCAATGCATCGGAACAACGGCTCAAGTTTTTTTTTTTAAACCCGCCTACTCGAAACATAAGGGAAAACAGAACAGGATTTCTTTCAAATCAGCCATTAGAAAAGGTGGAGTAGCCCTAAACTTCATTCATTTCAGTTTTATTTCGGTAATATATAATATGCATTAAATATTTATATATGCATTATTCAAATTTAAGTAATAAAGTTGAAAAAGAGACCAATTAGTAACAGTTATTCTTCTGAAGCCTTATTACATGTCAAGTAGAAACTGATACTTTTTATTTAATTAGTAAATCAAACATATATAGAAAAATGAACAAAAATACTAATATAGTAGTTCATATTTTTGGTGGCCTTTTTCTTTTTCCTCGAGACAGGGTTTCTTTGTGTAGCCCTGGCTAATCTTGAACTCATAGAGATCGCATGCCTATATTTCCCGAGTGCTGGGATCAAAGGAGTGCGCTACCACTACCCGGCTCATGTTAATGTTTATAGGGAGAAATAACCTTTCACATAAAATGACTCAATACAGCAAAAGCAGAAAAAAAAATATATGCTTTCAGTGGTGCTATTATCTTGCTATAGTTAATGGTGTATTAACACTTCGATTATAAATATATAATCAACTGAGTTTTAAAGGCCTGACCTTCACTAAAACATAATAGCAGCAAAGTAAAATCAGGAAAAGGTTCTAAATAAAGAACATTAAATTTCTTTCTTGTCAAAAGAGGTTTACAGGTTTTGGATGCTTTTTTGCATGTGGAACAGAAGAAAATGGAACTTTAACAGTTACTGAGGCAGGAAATGCAGGACTATAAAATGCACCAAGTAACTATGCTGTTACTGAACTTCCATGGTCCATGAGGTAAAACTCTACTACTACCAGAGGCTGCAGAGGTCAGACTGAAGCATCAAGTTTCTAGCATACATTAAGTGTGCAGTGCTTATTCTAAAAAGCAACAGATAAGCAAAACTATGTTATTTAACTGCTAGGGGAAAAATAAAAACCTTCAAGAATTTCAAGTTTAAAAGCCAATCATTTCCTATTTGAAGGAACAACTATGTATTAGCACAATTCACATACTCTATGAAAAATCATGGGCTCCTAAACTAATTTTGCCTCATATATCTAAGATAGGAAAGAAAAAAAAATGGCTTGGGATGGCAAAGCATTCAACAGAACAATACAAGAGAAAAACCCCACTGGAAGATACTCAAGCACAACTGGAAAGGAGGGGAAAAATAATATTAAGCCTCTAATTCATTAGTTAGCAAAGAACAAATCTCTAATTTAATTCATAGTTGACAAAAAGTAATCACAGCCTCTAACATTATTCTTCCAACACAACACTCTGCCGGTTTTGAAATTTTTTAATGATTTTTGATCATTAATTCTATAAAAAAATTTCATCCAGATTAACACAAGATATTAAGGAAATAAATCAACCCTAAATTGGAAAACCAGCAAAATAAATTACAACAACTAACTGCAGTAACTCCTAAAAGAGATACGTTTTTCTTCTTGAAAAAGTTAAAAATCTTACTTAAAATCTTTGCAATCGGCATCCATTCCATTTGGCAAACCTCTGCCATTTATTTTAGAGTCCTCATCATCTTGCTTAAGATCTCTGTTTTGGTCCTCCTCAAATGGAGAAGCCTTTCCTTTTTGATCTCCTTTCTCAGGTCCATCTGTTTCAGCATCTCTAGTACCCTGAGGAAAAAGAATCTGTTTGATTCTCAATACTTAATAAACACAAAAAATGGCACCAAAAGGTGACCTAAAACTACCCTATAGGGTATGTAACAATAAAATCAATAATTGTTTTTTTAGGTGAACTAATTTAGCAAAGGCCAAAAAAAATTAGTAAAACCTAGGCATTTATAACAGAAGGGCTAAGTCAACCTTAACTATAGCGATACAGGAAAAGCAGTAACACCACAAATTAGATTATAATACTTAATTCATACATAATTTGATTTAGTTTCAGATTAAATACTATCAGGATTAAGAATTTTAATTTTGTAAAGTTTTAAAATATGATTTGGTTTGTTAACACAGTTAAAATATACTTAAAATTATTCTACAATTTCATGTATTTTGTGAACTAAGTGAAGAAAACAAATGGCAAATACCTTTAAAGTTTCTTTCAGTTCTATGAACAGAAAAATACACTAATTAAGCTGGACACAGTGGTCCATATTTGTAATGCCAGGACATGAGAGGCAGAAGCATGACAACTGCCATGAGTTCAAGGCCAGCCTGGTCTACACAGTGAGTTCTAGGCTAGCCAAAGTTATACAGTAAAATCTTATATCAAAAGGAAAAAATAAAAGAGCAAAAAAAACATAAAGCAAACAAAAATCACTGAAAATACTAAATTTTACCAAATACTATTTGCAATGAATACCTGCAAGTAAAATTAAATGGATAAAACCAAAAACGGAAGAAAAAAAAAAAACCCTAAACTTTTGCTCCAAATACTTACAAAAGTTCCCTTCCTAAATCGAGAATCCAATTTATCAGCAGGAGAGGAACTTAAGACATATTCTACCATGCTCACACCAAGGCCTCCACTTTCTGAGCGCGGAGAAAGAATTGCATTTACTTCACTGTTTCCATGAAAACTCTGTCCAGATCTTCTCTGTACCATAATAGGCTGGGACATTGAATGATCTGTTTGAAAGAAAAACACAATAGGCTTTTACTTTTAAGCCAAGTAAAATACAGTCATACAAATTAAGATACCAACCTAAAAATAAATAAATCAGTATTTCCTTTTAGTGTAATATTTGTTATGCACAAACAGCTTTTCATTCTGCATAGCTGGGACATCTTTTTACAAATGATACATTATATTATTTGTGTGTATATGTACATATATGCATGCACGTGCGTTAAGTCAGAGGACAATTATTTACAGTTTCCTCCTTCCACTTTGATATGGGTACAAGGGATCAAACTCAGGTTGTCAAGCTTGTAGAAAATGCCTTTACCAGCTGAATCGCCTCACTGGCCTTAGAGCATGTTTCTTAAAAAAAACAGATAAGACGTTAGAAGAAGACAACTTTGTGGGGTTGTTTCTCCCACAGTTATGAGTTTTATTTAGTGATAAAAGCTTATGCAAAGAAGAGTCAAACAAAAAAATCAATGAGGCAGAAAAATGACTGAAGGCTGAGGTTGTTTTTAAGTATAAAACCTAAAAGAGAAAACAAGAGATCACAGTTCTCAAGCTCAATTATACAGACCCACAACACAGTCATTAACAACTAATACCAATTGGGCTTAGAAAAATCAAATCCCAGAATTTTATGTTCATGGTGAAACCAAAGTATCAGATAAAGACTTTTTAAATACTTTCTAGTTTCTTTCATTTTAGAAAATTATGCCTCCAACATAAACACCTCTGTTGAAAAGAAAAGGCTATTTTTAACACCTCAGAGCTAGCATAACAAATATAATCAATAAATTGGAGACAGCATTCAAATAAACCCTTTTTCCCATTTGTACTCATTAAGAGATTTCCCCTTATATCCCTTCCTTTAATCAATCACCCTCATAGTTTAAATACAAGCATACTATGAATTATGACAGGCATTATCATATAATAGGGTTCAAGAACAAACAAGACAACCTGATTTAGTAATTATTACTATAATAAAAAATCATGATCAAAGGTAACTTGGAGAGGAAATAGCTTATCTCACAGTTCCATGTAACAGTACATCATCAAAAGCAACTGTTCTCCTAAGTAAAGGATGTACTTCTTATAGGCAACGTGAATCCCAACACAAACTTTGTATTTTAAATTGATAATTTATTCTAATATAGCTCAATTAGACTACAAGAAAAACATTCTTGTTTGTTTTTCAATACAGGGTTTCGCTGTAGTTTTAGAGCCTGTCCTGGAACTCTTGGAGGCCAAGCTGGCTTCAAACTCACAGCAATCCACCTGCCTCTGCCTCCTGAGTGCTGGGATTAAAGGCGTGTGCCACCACTGTCAGGCCTAGAAAAACATTCTTAAGGGTGTGAATCTTCTCTTTCTAGTCTCCAGGTGGCATAATTTGGCTGAACAACAAAGAAAATTTCTATTATTGTAAGGAAATATAAGCCAAAATTAGCTGCTCACAAAATTTTCAATCTATGAATTTTCTACAACTCCCTTACCTTCAGGGTTTTAACTTTGTAGCATTTACTTTATATAGGGTAACAAAAAGATTTTTTAAAAGTTTTAAATCTCTTTATATTAATTAATAATTATATTATTGATCTGGATGATACTTATCCACTTATTTAACACTTATTTAACAAATTTTTAATTAAAAAAAGATCTATCCAGGCAGTGGTGGTACACACCAATCCCAGCACTTGGAAGGCAGAAACAGGCAGATCTCTGTGAGTTCAAGGCCAGCCTGGTGTACAATATGAGTCTAAGGACAGCCAGCTGATACACAGAGAAATGGTCTCTTGTATCCAAAAAATAAAATAATCTGTTGGCCTGGCACAGTGGCTCAGTGGTTAAGAGCACTTGCTCTTTCTATGTCCCCAGGTTCAGTTAATGAATCCATAGGCAGCTCACAACCACTCAAATTTCTAGTTCCAGGAGCCAGATGCCTTCTTCTGATATCCTGATACACACATACACCTGTAGGCAAAAACACTCAAATACACAATAAAACAAATAAATCTTTTAGGGGGGGAAAAAAACCTGTTAATTTATTCACAAAAAATGTTAAGGTCAGAAAAGCAGGATCTGTCTGCCTGTGCCGCCCAAGCACTGGGATTAAAGGTATATGCCAATACTACCTGATCTCTAGTGGCTTAGCTCTGCGCTCTAATCTTCAGGCAAGTTTTATTTGTTAAAACACAATCAAAATATCACTACATTTCTTACTTTATTTTGTTTAGCTACTTTACACTCAGCAATAAAAAGAGAAAGCATCTATAAAACTTATTTACCTATCTAATCCTTAAATTTGATTCATGGGGTCTCTGTGAGTTCGAGACCAGCCTGGTCTATGAATTGAGTTTCAGGATGGCCAGAACTGTTACACAGAGAAACCCTGTCTCAAAAGACTAATAATTAAGTCCAAATTTTACAAATAAGGCCAGGTGATGGTGCACACATCTTTAATCCCAGCACTTGGCAGGCAGAGGCAAACAAATGCCTGATTTGCAGAGCTAGTTAGGGGAAACCCTCTCTTGAAAAAACCAAAACCGAAACAAGGCCAACCTGGTCTTCGAGAGCCATAGCTATACTGAGAAAACACAAAATAAGAAAAAGAAAAATCTAAACTATAAGCTTCAACAAAGGTATCACAGTTTTTTCCCCCAAATTGTTTATGGATAGGCAGGGTTATAAAAACGCTGAATTTCAAGCACCAATAACTTACGAGAAGTTCCCCACGCAGTCTCTCTCCATTCATCATCCGCAAGAAATATGCCTTTTTGTCCATCTTTTGTTGAATCATCAGGTTCCCAAAACTTTTTGGTAGGCAAAAGCTATTTGAAAGAAAAACAACAACAAAAAACTTTTATAATATCATACAATTTACAAAGAGTATATAAGGAACTGCAAACATATCACTTATATATATACATTAATCTTCAAGCAATCTTTTTTCCAAGCTCTCTCACTGAACATCAAAGTAACTCCTCACTTATGCACTGGCTCTAATAATTCTAGGCCTTCAACTATACTGCTAACATTTTTATTATATCCTGATTATCTTTCTTTTAAAATTTTCATTAGATTTATTCCGTTTGTGTAAAAGTTTTGCCTGCATATATGCATGCATACCACATGAGTGCTTAGTGCCCAAGGAGGTCAGAAGGGTATCAGATCTCCTTAGACTGGAGTTATTGATGGCTGTGAGCCACAGTGTGAATACTAAGAACTGAACCCAGGTCCTCTGAAAGAGAAACAAGTGTGTTTAACCACCGAACCATCTCTCCAGCCCCCTCATGATTTTCTTTCTATATTAATTCTCTTTAAAAGACTTACTAAATTTCCTGTTAATGATAACAAAAATGCCCAGAAGTTACTAAATTTTCTTTCACTTCAATAAGCTGCATTTGAACTATCTCATCAAATATCCAGAATATAAAGTTTTCTTTTTCTTTTTTTAGTTCTTATTCACCAGAAGTAAACGTCACAACTCTTACTAGCTCTTAAATAGTAGCAGTATCTCAAGCCCAAATCAGAAGCTGTGAATTAACACAGTACACACAAAGAAAAACACTAACGGTATTTTTGAGGTAATAACCTCAAGGCCTTATGCTCTATGCTTATACGGTAACATGTGAAAATGACAGTCAACAGGACCACTCAGTAACTCTCTCTATTCCTGACAACTGGAAGTAGAATTACGTTTGTTTAAACAGATTTGTTTTCTTAGATACACATTTGGCATTTTAAGTAAGCATTCATAAGACATTATTTCATCCTATTAAAGGCCAAGTCATTGACAGCTCATAATCAGACCTGTATAATACTTCTAGTACTACATTGATCACACTAGTTACCTGTGTTTGCCTCTGTAAAGGCATTGTGACCATATCTTCAGAGAACTTACAAACATAAGGAAAGAAAACATGACTCAGTAATACCTGATTTAGGGTCTGAGAGATAATGCAGTAATATATATAAATATATATATTAGTGTATTTTCAGGAGGAGGGGTAAGTTGCAAGGTGAGAAATACAATTAGCATAAATGAAACATGAAACCATGAACAAAATTTAAAACTTAAGATAATGCAGTGTTATACATATAAAGATGTAAGAAGACCCAAATTTGACACTGGTAAAGCTAACCAGGTTGATCATGAGTAACCTTAAAAGCATGTTAAGGAAACTCAGTTTTACTAAAGCAACAGGAAATCAAGATAGGTTAGCAAGAGCAACAGTATGTGTTGTAAAACCAGTTCAGCAAAATCACAACAGAGCCAAGACAGTAAGAACTAAAAGAGTGTACTGGCAGAAAAGAGCTGAGAAATAAATGGATCTAGAAAGACATTTGGAAGATCAAAAGGAGTTGATTACAAATGGTAGGAAAATGCATAAAACCTTAAGAAATAATAAATGATAGTGTTACTAACCAAACTGAGAAGCAGTGTTGAATGGAAAGGAACATGTTCCTAATTTTTACAGATTTTTTTCTTTTCTTTTCTTTTTTTTTTTTTTTAAAGTCAGTGTTTCTCTGTTTAACGGTCCTGGCTGTCCTGAAACTTTTTAGACTAGGTTGGCTCTGGCCTTGAACTCAGATCCACCTGCCTCTGCCTCCCAGCGCTGAGATTAAAGGCATGCACCACCACCACCTGGCCTACAGATCTTTTATAAAATAAAAATTTATAATTTTTTAAGAAACCAACTTAAAAAAAAAGTCCAGTTTTTACAGGTTAGGATCTTTCTAAATGTCATGTCTCAGTTAAAGTACAGACATTTTAAAGAATAATCTCCTCTGACAAAGACTCCAGTAAGTATAAAACATTTTATATTTAAATAATATAAGATAAAGTTTTAACTAACAGGAGCGCTAATCATAGGCATAGAAGTAGCTAAAATAACAGTATTCTGGTGTGGGAGGTCCTTCTGTCTATGTGTTGCTTATACTGGTTAATGAATAAAGAACTGCTTTGAACCTATGGCAGAGAACAGAACTACGTGAGGAAAGCTAGGCTGTATGCTGGGAGAAAGAAGGGCAGAGTTGAGGAGCTGCCATGGAGTTGCTGTCAGAGTCAGACATGCGGAAACTTTGCTGGTAGACCATAACCTTGTGTTTATATACAGATTAATAGAAATGGGTTAAATTAATATGTAAGTGTTATTCAATAAGAAGCTACAGCTAATGGGCCAAGCAGTTATTTAATTAATACAGTTTCTGTGTGACTATTTCGAGTCTTAGCTAGCGGGACAGCCAGGAACTAACAAGCAGCTCTCTCCTCCAATAGTATTCCACTGAGAAAACTATTCCATTTTTTGAGATTATATTCCCCAGAGTGTCTTTACAGACCACTGCCTTAAACAGCAAAATGCAAAACTAGGGATTAGCATAGTGGTAAAGCACCGGCCTAGCATACACAAGGTCCACTGCTCCATTCTCAGCACCACAAAAAATAAAATGCATATCTCTTAAGTAGTGGAGAAAACCCATGTCAAACATTCAATATGCCAATTTTGCCAAACACTAAGAAAAACTGTATTTCTTACTTCGCAAACATATTTAAGTTATTGGATACACAGGAAATAATTTAGCTAAAATCAACACTTCTACTAAAAACCTCCAGTACACTCTAGAAATGCTTTGTTAATTTTTTAAAAAGTACTTTTAGTTGAGTGTGTATGTGCTGCATATAGTGCATGCACATCAGTGTGTTTAGAGGCCAGAGTCAAGATGTGCCATTGTCTATGGCTCTCTGCCTTTTTGCCCTAAGACAAGGTCTCTCAAGCACAGTAAAACCTTACCTTTTTTCGGGGTGGGGTGGGGTGGAGGCTAGGTTGGCTGGCCAGTGAGCTATTGATTTCTGCCCGTGGCTGGAGTTATAGGCGGTCATGGCTACCTACTCATGCTTACCTATTCAGCCATCTGCATAGCTCCTTAGAAAATATCTTCTATGACGATTAAAACACTAATTTAAGCACTATTCCTAGCTTGTGACCCTAGTTTAAAATAGATTGAACATAGGTGAAGGCAACTACTCAAGAAACAAAGAGTTAAAACAAAAATTGAGAAATTGGAGGTTAAATAAATTGAGACAGAAAGAGATCTGTCTTCAAGAATTCTTTGATTAGCCGGGTGGTGGTGGCGCACACCTTTAATTCCAGCACTTGGGAGGCAGATCTCTGTGAGTTTGAAGCCAGCCTAGTCTAAAAGAGCTAATTCCAGGACCATGGTTGGGAAATCCAATGTTTCTTGTCTTCAACCTCAAAACTCTGATATGACTGACACAAAATTTTTTCCTCCAGAAAGAATTTATGGCTGAGCAGTGGTGGTGCAAGCTTTTAATCCCAACACTCGGGAGGCAGAGGCAGGCAGATCTCTGTGACTTCGAGACCAGCCTGGTCTATAAGAGCTAGTTCCAGGACAGGCTCCAAAGCTACAGAGAAACCCTGTCTCAAAAACCAAAGGGGAAAAAAAAAAGAAGGAATTTATGGCTTGCCCTCTCACTGTAAAGAAACAAATAAGGATCCTATCTATACTGCCCCATAAACAAATCTACCAAATTTCTATTCCAGTATTTGAGGCACACTTATCATCTATAAACTGTTGAACAAAAAGCTCAAGCTAATTTAAACATAATTAACATTATGTTTAAAACTAAGTTCATATTGCTTATCTCTGAACTCAGATGCTTTTAAGAAAAGGAATGTTGTGACAACAGACCATAAGGAAAAAAGATGATGTATAAGATCACTCTACTTATAAGTTCTCTCTCTCTCACACACATACATACAAAGTTGTAGAGAACAGCAACAATTAAAAAAAAAACATGATTTAATTATTTAATTCTCTCTCTCTCTCTCTCTCTCTCTCTCTCTCCCCACACACACACACACACACACACACAAAGTTGTGGAGAACAGCAACAATAAAGAAACTATGATATAATTTTCTGAACTCCTATAATAGTGTTCTTATAGCCTTTTAATCCTTTCTATAAATAAAAGATAGTAACAGTTTTTAGCTTTTTAATTTATTTCTGAAGAAAATATAATAAATCTGCTATTAGATTGAGTCTACAATGAAAGACTACCAAGAGACTGTTTAATGCATCATCTAGCACATAGTAGCCATACTAGGAACCTTTCATAGCCAAAGTAGAAATCATTTAATTACCTGATTATTTCAAAGAATTGCATCTCATTATCAAGATTTTATCTCTAGCTATTTAATTTTATTTTTTCTTGTGTTGTTTAAGCATTTCAGAGAGATGAAACCCTATTTATTACTTAAGAATAGTTGTCTAAATAAGTCTTTCTCCATAAGGAAAAACAGCCAGAAGGTTAAATACTAGAAGGTTTACATACAGTTGATAAAGAGAACTACTGGGATTTAAATCCTTAGTCGTTTCATTGTAAGGCTTTTCTCTTTGCATTTAATATTACAGAAGTTTCTTTTTCAATCTTAGTGTAATTCATAACTATTCCTAAGAATTTCCTGTATTAAGATTATCACTCGATAAATAAAAAATTTAAGATTACTAATAGTCTTAACTCTAAGAATGGTTAAAACAGTGATTTTATAAATATACTGCAACCCTCTAAACACTATCTGAAATAGCTGGTTTTCTTTGTAGGTTTTGTTTTTTTCAGACACTTCTTTCTGTGTAACCCTGGCTGTCCTGGTATCATGTAGCCCACAATGGCTTTGAACTTAGGGATCCCCTAGCCTCTGCCTCCTGAATGCTGGAATTTAAGACATGTACCAACATGTCTATATAATAAAGCTGTTTGATTCCACTTATCCCTAACAACTCAGATCAGTAAGAGCATTTGAGTTAAGTCTTATTTCTCTTTTCAAAGAACTCAGCATTAATTGCATAGCTTAGTAAGATTTCTGTAAGAACAGAGCTACTCTACCATTCTATATAAGATTTTGTTTTGAAGACAGGACCTTATTTTGTAGTTTTATCTAGCTTAGAAGTCACTATGTAGAGCAGGCAGGCCTTGAATTGACAAAGACCCACCTGCCTCTGCCTCCCTAGAGCTGGAATTAAAGGTGTTAATTGCCATGCCAGGCTCTACTTGAGATTTTAAAACACCAATTTTCTTTAATATTTTCCTAAAATACTCTGTCAAAATAGGAAAATTTGTTACACTAAGCTATGAAACTGCCTCCTCCAATACAACTCATTAGCTCGGTGATCTTAAGTTAAATTTTGGTTTCCTCAAAAAATTTCGGGCAAGGTCCTTTTATTCTGTTATTTCAAGATTCAACAAGAGTCACCTATATGACAGTTAATAGGCATGAGCTTTGCAGTATACTTGATTAAAATACTGCACCTCTATATAAACCAATAAAAAATAACCCTTCCTATGGATCATATTTGTTTGTTGTAAGCCACATGCTATAATGAAAATCAGTAGGTCTTTGACAAAAACATGCTACCGGAGGAAAACAAGAGTGACTTTATGAATAAATAAATACAGACTAGTTTCTATCTTTGGGTGAACAACTTAGAGACTGACCTTGGATGATAGTTTAATAAACCCATCAAGAAATACAAAAATGGTACATTTAAAATGAGTCCTAGAAGTAAACACGATTCTCCATATTAGAGATTTATAACAGTTAAGACCCAATAAGCAAAACCTTATCCTTAAAAGGAAAGAAGGGGACAATCTATTAAAAAGGGGATTTTTTTTTTTACATTACAAAAACAACTCCGATAAGCAATTTTAGAAAATTTAAGAGCCAGAGAGTACAGGCTGCTTTACTTTATTCCAATGAGTGAATTCTGGAATGAAACAAACAAGCACCTCACCTGTCAGTAAAGGAGGAGAAGAAGACTGGTGAGAGAGAGACAGGCAAAGAAGGAAATCCCAGAAGGTTCCCTGCTGCCTGTGAGATGAGGAAAGATAGAAAGGCTTGTGGGAGAGAACCCAGAGACAGAGATTTGATAGGCTTCTTAGCTATCTCTTAGAAGTAGCAATATTACTGGAAAATTGTTTTAAATTAAAAAAAAAAAGCAAAACCTGCTTATTTAAAAATATTTTTTACTGGATGAAGGTCACTGATAAAACGGGCCTGCAGCCCTCCAGACAGCAGGATATTAAGGCCCTACAGCACTCTGGGTGTCTACTAATAAAGAGTGGATTTTAGCTTATTTAACTATTCTGCCCAACCCCTCAACTTAAAACCTTTGTCTACCCATAGACAACTAATTCAACCACTGCTTCTGACCATAATTTTTAACCACAAAGGTATATTTAGCTTTCTCAAATTTTATTTTCAAATAGAAAAAGAGTCAATTTGTATATAAATCTATAATACACATAGAAGAAAATAGTCATGCCTAGAATTAATGTAGGATTCTCACTCACTCTTACAAAAACCAAGTCTTTTAAAGACTGGAAACAGAAACAATTCAGGAATGCTTTATTATTTTAGTATTTTAAGATAGGGCTTTCCTACATAATCTAAACTGACCTTGAGCTCAAGACTATTGCCTTGGCCCACAAAATGCTGGAATTGCAGGCATATTCTATAGCATTCCCAGACTGCTGTTAAGATATACTATTCTACTTTATAAAAACCAAAGAAAATAAGTGGCAGGTAAAAAACAAAAACCCTTCCAACTGTCTCTGTTTAGTCTACTCAAGTGTAAATAATGCCTGAAGAGCCATTTTGCTATAAGATATAGGCTTTCTTTTAGGAGCAAAAAAGTATTCCCTCTCTCAAATTTTTCTTAGGGCCCAGATTAGATTTGACCTTATGTACTGTATGTACTGGACTAACAAGTTTATTTTGGCAATACTTAGCTTAAGCACCTTAACTCACCCTTAAATCAGTCCTCTGAAAATGACAGACAAACTCTTTGGAAAACGCTGTTCTGAAGAAAGGGAGGGTTAGCTAGCTGCAGGGTGCCCTCTTGTGGCCCAAAGGAGTGACTGGACTCTCTTTCTGCATCTGAAGAGCACAGCATTGGATGGAGTGAGTCTCATGAAGGTCTCTAATCTACTAAAGTAAAATAATCTCCAGGAGCAAGCAATTAATTACACATCTTAGGTCTGTTTACTGTTATTTTCTACTATCAAAGTCCACACTTGAGTGTGTAATATAGAATACAACAAGGCTATGTCCACGAGAGTTTTTATCAGTTTCCTAAAGTTCATTAGGAATATGGAAAACTAAGTATTTTAGATGCCTTAAAATATGTAATGGTATGGTTAACTGGGTACCCAAAGAAAACTATAGATTAACAGAAAAGATAACATCCTTCCAAAATTGTAGAGTACCTATCATGCTAAGCATTCAAAGCTAGCAATTTATAGGAAATAAATACAAAACTGTAATCAGTAACATAATTAAAGTATTTACAGGGAACTAAATGAGAAGTCAGATGAGGAAGTTAATAAATTCTAATGCAGACAGCAATGGGATACTAAGCAAGTCTTACAGAGGATTAAAAGTTTATTAAATATCTTTGGTGAACAAGAAAGATTTTTGGGAAAGAATAGTAACAATCAAGCATAGCTAAAGCAAACAGCATACATATATAAAATGGCAGAATAGGATGTACTCTTTTGAGCAGAGCTAATTCTAATTACATGACTCATTACCAAATATTAAGACATTATTTAACCAAGTCAATCAAAATCACCTAGACACAAATAAGCACACTAATAATGACTTACTGAATTTAAGTTTCAAAATGAGCAACCCCCCCAAAAAATTCACAACTGCACAAATACATAATTTCAAGGGCTTTTTAAAAACCTATATCTGAAAGCTGCAACTATTATTTCCAAGATTTATGGTTTAGAAAAATAAACTTCAATGAAAAATTAATGTGAATCACAAATTTTTAGTATTGGTAAGTTCTTACCTCTCCCATTCCCCGAGATTCTAATGCAAGAGCTTGAAAATCATGATTCATTTCATCCACAGATCAAACCTGGTAAGTAACAAAAATTGAAAGTTAGCAGGAATTTAATAAAGTATTAGCTATATGGTATGGGTATTAACTAATACTACCACATTCCAAAATACAGAAGAATAGATGTTTCTATGAAGACAGGTTTTCCCAAATAAATTACTTGAGTGCAAGCTACATTGAAATGGACAAGTTTTTAAAAAAATAACTGTATGCCAGCAGACCACTACACATTCTTGTGCAAGAAAATGAAGTAAAAAAAAAAAAAAAAAAAAAAAACAAGAAAAGTGAGTCCAATCACTTTTTTAGTGTTATAATTACTACTACGAAATAATTTTATGCTAGTTAAGATTGTTAGGATTTCTGAAAAATTAGCATCATTTGTGAACCTAATTTATGTAATTTTCCCTGTAAATATTTAGCAAATAATCAATTAAATGGTGCTTTATTTTTTAAGTGAAAACATTTAATCTACAGTGAATTAACTACAGTTTGTTGTGGTTTCCTCAAGAAAGCATTTCTCAGCCCTTCCATTCTCAAGAGCTGACCACTCCCTCTTATGTGACAATGTGTTGTTATTGGTCCCCTGCCTCCTCCAACTAAGAAACTAAAGAAAACAAAACAAAAACAAAAAACACGCAAGCTTGAAGGCTCTCCAAACTTACAGCTTTGAAATTCAACTAGAAAAAAATCCTATTATCCCCCGCCCCTCCCCACCCCGTGCACACACACACCCTTCACAGTTTGACAAACTGAAAGAACTAACAACTATACTCCTTCCTGCAATACTCTCTGTCCTACTCTGTGCCTATAGTTAATTTTGCTTTCCTAGATTTCTAGTTACTAGGCCATGGATTCCTGTTTCTCCCCCCCCCCCCATCTCTTAAATCTTAGCATTGCTTGTGTAAGACAATCTCTATTCTCCATGCTTTGGGAGCTTTCCAGATGATAGCTCTCAAATTTGTATTTACAAACTAAACCGCTTATTCTCCACAGCTCCAGTTATCTCCTTTTTATTTTCTTGATGTACCACAAAGTGTCCTTTACTTCCTTTCTTACAATCATTTTCATCATTTACCAAGTCCTGTTAAACCAATCTTACCCAATTTAATCTGTTTTCCAGCCCTTTGGTTGAGAATATCATCTTTTAAAGATCCAAACACTGCAATCTTCTTCTCACCCTTTCATTCTGCAATCTAATCTCCAAATTATCTTTCTGAAACTACTCTGATCATGTGACTCCTGTAGTCTCATCCCTAACGATAAAGCTCAAACTCTTTTATGTGGCTTACAAAGAAATATGTTAGCTAGTGAAGATGCCTGCCACCAAACCTAACAACTTGAGTTTAAACCACTGGACCCACAGGTGGAAAGGATGCCCTCGGATGTCCTCTGATCTCCACTAAATAGTTGTGGGGAGCTGATGAAGTCCTGAGTCAGTGTGTATTGCTGGCATGGGCACAGCAATGTCAATCAAGGACTCCTCAGACCATGACAACAGCTAAGCTTCTAGTCTAAGTTGTAGTGTTTATGAACACTAACCAGTGTGTATACAAACTAGCCACAGCTTTCTCCTCTCAGATGACTGCTTCCCTACAGAGACCTCCTATGAGGCTAGCTAACTTTAATTCTTCCTCGTGCTGTGCATTAATAAACAGGCTGAATTTTCAGGGATCTAGTCGATGGCCTCCATTAGAATGAACAGAACCCACATGATCCCAGGTGGGCTGTATGTGTAGCTTTTTCATTCCCATTGTCCTAGTCAGGTTTCCAGGACCAAAAGGCAAATGTTAATTAATAAAACAAATTATAGTTCAGACATCTGGTAGTTCTAGAACTCTGAACAAACAAACTGACGTTTCTTCTCTATGTTCTGATATAAAGAGCTGCTACGTAGATTTGCTGTGAACACTAAGTCAGACAGGAGTGGTTGGTAGGTAAACATTCAAGTCAGCTAGTAAAAGAGTTTGGGGTGGGGTGTTTAGAGAGATGGCTCAACAGTTAAGAGAACTGGCTGCTCTTCAAGAGGACCCAGGTTCAATTAACAGAACCTGCATGGTAGCTTACAGTTGTCTGTAATTCCTGTTCCAGGGGATGAATGTCCTCATACAGACTTACCTGTAGGCAGAACACCTATGTATATAAAATAAAAATAAGTTATTTTTAAAAAAAAGTTTCAGAGGCCGAAAGATGGCCCAAAAGTTTAAGTCAGAGGACCAGAGTTCAGTTCCCAGCACCTGCATCAGGCAGCTCACAACTCTAGCTCTTCTGACCTCCTGATAGTCCCCTACATGCAATGCTTGCACACACATAAAATAGACAAATTACAAAAATAATTGAAAAATAATCAATGGATCTAGAGAGCAAATAAGTTTTTTGACTTGGTAGAAACATGGGATTAACAGTTCTTACTAAGTGAGTATTTCATTCACCTCATTAATTCAATAAGCTTTTACTAGACTTACTGAAAAAAATTATAAAGAAAAAGAAACTCAAATATAGTCATACTTGTCATTTTAGTGGATCTTATATTTCTTAGTAATAAAGAAGTTCAATTGGACCCAAACCTTTCTACTATGAACTCTAAACTAAAAACAATAACAAAAAACACCCAAAAACTATTTGCAGGTAATAGAAAAAAAAAAGAAAGAAAGAAATAAAAGAAACTGAGAGCCTACACTCCAAAGAAAGATCCTGCAGAATAGAATTTTGTTTTTTCTTTCAATGGTTTCTTTTGTTTGCTGGTTTTGTCCAAGGGACAAACAAGATGGGCTTTGAAACTCCTATAGCAAACCCACTCTCATAAGCCCTAAACTAAACCACAACAGTTTGGAGCAAGCAGAGCTGCTGTATAACAAGGGGAGGAATCCCAGAAAGAACGAATACAAATTCTACATTTAAATTAAAATACACATAGATGTAGATGACCCTGGAACTACAGGTCTAGAACCATGCCAAGAAAGCCAATTAAGGATATAAGAATTAAGCAAATTTCTGCTGCTGACCACAAAAATCATAGGAATTTAGATTTTGAGTTACAAAAAAAAATAAAATACAACATTCTCTACAACAGAATCTAATCCTCCACCTATCAAGCATAAAGTCTGAAATTCATACTAAAGACCTATGAAGAAACTAGAAAACGATGTAAATAAAAAAATTAACAAGAACGATACTGAAATCAGGTCGTGCCCTGACCTATGTTGCTCTGTATTGTTTTTTAAAAAATCAGTTTTCACACTGTGCCTTGCCTTAAGAGACTCTAAATCACAAATAGCTTTTGGTTTGTCAAGACAGGGTTTGACTGTACAGCCCTGGCTGGCCTGAAACTCAAGATCTGCCTGTCTCCCAAGTGCTGAGACCAAGCCTAGCTACACCACAAGTAGCTTTTGACTCCATTTTGAGGTATTGTGTGCCTAGGTAGACACATGAAAGGCACTATTTGTCCAGCACCACCCACACAGCAAACTAATAAATGACTTAGTCCAGCAGAGAGTGCCACCCTATACATTTATCTGGGTAAATCCAACTTTTACGGCACATGGGCTTGTTAAGACCACATCAGGAAAAACAAAAGCCAAATATTTATAAGATACATCAGACCAGGGCAAGAATATGTTTCACTTGAACGCAATAAAGAGACAAACACTTAGCACAGTGATAGCAATCTCCCGATGACGTGTGTGTGTGTGTGTGTGTGTGTGTGTGTGTGTGTGTGTGTGTGTGTGTTAGAGACAGACAAAGAGAGACAGACAGGCGGGCAGAAAACTCTCTACTTGCCCGGGAGAGAGAAAAACAGGCAGAATTCTCCACTTTCCTAGGGGTTTCAGCATGGTTTGGCCCCCTCTGTTGACAAGGTCTGCTTCTGGACCTGCCACCCACCTCACCGTTCATTTATCTAGATTCAATCCTGCCCTCAGCTTTGTTTATCTTATTCCTGCAACTCTGCTCTGACCTTGCAGCCTGACTGCAAACAACCAGCAGCCAGCAATTTCACCAACTGAGGTTATTTAACTTAACAACAGACCCAGGCTTTCCTATCAGGCTTTAGCCACTCAGGCCCTTTCTTTGAAACTCTTTGCCTCTTTGACCTTTGCAGCTATTTTGTAATCTACATATATACATATAGATGTATAGATAAACTACGTCACCTGAGAGTTAATGCTAATAAATAAGAATGTAATAAAAAAGAATATGTTCACTTAGCCAGAATTATCAAGGAAAGCAGGAATACCTGGCAAACTGCTGCCATTAAAAGCCTTATTCTCTATAAATTTACTGTTAAATAATGCCTGACACTGTCTATGTTTCTGACATAACGTGTTCAAAACAATCAACCAACATCAAGCTAACTCATGACAGACGAGGAGATAATTTAAAGTAACTATCAACTGTACAAGATGAAAAAAAACATGCTTCTAGCATGTGAATCTGATGATTAGTGTCAACGTGACAGACTCTAAAATGGACCTCTGAGAATGCCTATGGGGGATTATCATGATTGCGTAATTGCAGTGGGACTGACTTTGATCCTGAGCTACAGAAAATGGAGGAAAGGAGCTAGTAATAGAATCTCTTTATCCCTGTTTCCTGATTGTGGATATCATGTGAACTTTATGCTGATGCTTTGACTCCCCTACTACGATGGACTGTACTTTACACAGAGTTAAATATAAACCCTTTCTCAAGCCAAGCATGGTGTCAAATGCCTTTGATCCCAGCACTTGGGAGGCAGAGGCAGACTGATCTCTGTGAGGTCACGGTCAGCCTGGTCTACACAGTGAGTTCCAGGATAACCAGGGTTACACAGAGAACCCTGTCTTAAAGAACAAACAAAAAGCAAACACACACTCACACACACACACATAAAACCAAAGCCCTTCCTCCTTGAAGTTGCTTTTGTCAGAGTATTTTTTAAACCAAAGAACAGACTGAAAAAGAAACAAAGATAGTAAACTAATACAAAATTTCATCACTTGAGAGAAATTAGATCTAACAACCAAATGGGAACACTAAAATGG